TCGGAATGAATAACACTGGATATGAAGATATCACTGGAGGATATCTCTGGTAGAAAGAAACGAAATTTTGGAGAGATTTGCAAACTTACGCCCACTTAGCAAAATAGTTATCTGTGGCGCAGTATTCCCACACAAACGCATATGCAATGCTACATGGGTTTCAACGGATCACATTACAGATAATTGTAGTCTAATTCGCTATTAATACTGTTATTAGTGCTTTATTATTATCATACTGTTCCCTTTTATTACCATAATAATCCCAAAATTGTAGATGTCATGACGTGAAAACCTACTATATAGGATTATGTGTTGAATTAACATCACTGTATATTTTCTAACTCGTCGTATCATAACAATCAGCAATATAATGTCCAGCATTTCTAACAGAGACATTTAGGCTGGAGATATAACAATTCATTTATTATTAGTAAAAGAGAAGTTACACAGAATGACCACTTCTACAAAGCTGATCCATGCCTTTCGAATAATTGAATTATTGTTCACGCGTTCTCCACTGTTGACCTCCTATTCATATTTATTGTTTAATATAAATCTTTTCAGCAATTATATGCTCGGCTTCAAATATCGGGTGGCCAGGTTCCGGTGCCAATACATTTGAATGAGACGTGAAATGCAGGAGAGGAACCGATATAGACTCCGGTAACCACCTGTTGTTTGCCAATATGTAGCACTGGAAACTGAGAAACAGTATTACAAAGGTTTAATACAGCCTTGTTTAATCATAACTAAATCGTTTTTGAGTGTTAGTTGACTCAAAATAGTAGAGGTCATCTGGAGAGCATATTAAATCTCTGCACATCCTGAGAAGCATTTATTGCGGCATATGTCGAGTGCAGGAATCAATAAGATTTTAGTTAGCCTTCAACGCTGACCTGGACAAAGAAGCAGGAATTGGTTCCTATTCAACTAAAAGTTTTGTATAAAACTGGACAACATAAGTGGTCAGCAATATCAATATGAAATAGAGTTTGGTGGTGTTCTTATCAAACGAAGGTTTCAAAATTCGAAATATTACCACAACATCAATTCCGCGCAAAAGATAATTAGTCACGTCCATGAGCACATTTCTCTGGTCTTCTTGTAAAAGCACTTAATTCCAGATGAAATATTCCTTTTATGGGAGAAACTTATACGATTTTGTTAGCCAGACTTCTTCGGGTCATCAACGTTGATTGCCACTGATATATTTCCATTCTAGCCTGAAGGAAAGTTACACATTGATGGTGCGTATATAGAGGTATGTTAGAGAGAATCTAGAATGTTTAAGAAGTAAGTAGACGGCAAGAAGGCATGTAAGGCACGCTTATCTTTATATATGAAAGTGGTTAATCACAGCAAGCAATTGCGCACACTTAAAATTAAGGCTATTTCAAGATTTAAAAAAGTGATGGGCGACATGATTTAAGGTGGATTTTATCACTCCACATAACGACTAAATATCCGCACAGTGTTTATGGGAAATTTACGTGACTGGTGTCAGATAAGATGCAAGGCAAGTGAGTTACAAATTATTATATGTTGAAGATGCCACAGGTATTCGGAGTTTGACAACGCTTTAACCAGTAACACCTTCTAATACGAAGCGCACCCACCAAGTAAAATCAAAAGACAGAAGCGAGGAGATCGAAGATATATTTGATAAGCTATCAATATATCGAGGATCGTTGGCACTAATCTGGCTAGCGATTGAGGCAGATGTTAAGCACGGCGTTCCCACACGTGATCTGGTGCGGATGCTTGACCGAGCGCCTTCCGCTAGATGAGTCCACTAAAACTATCGTCAGCATCCAATGTCGAAAACTTACAGAGCTATTTGATTTTGGGGAATTATTTACCGCTACAGATCACTCCCCCCCCTAGTGGTGTAGTGATGACCCTAAGACGTGGCCAGCCAGAAGTTTAAACCCAACGAGATTTTCGTTGGTAAACACTCTTCTGATAGCTTGCTAGGTTTAGCAGCGTCTGGTCGTCTTTCCTTACTATAATGGACCATGATGTACAATATAGTAAAAAAAGGTACAATGCAGATTTTCGTTTTTCGCAACTTCATCGTTCTTTTCCAGTCGTCCTGGAAAAGAAAAGAAAAATATGTAAGTGCATGTCGGAATACACTCGTACGCGCGTGAAAACACAAAACAAGCGAAGAAAAAGGAAAACAAACTCATGCTCACGTAGTAGCGTAAAATAAGATTTTTATAATATCGTTGTTTTTTTTTTGAAATAGAAAAAAAAATAATATATAAGCATATTAAATTCAGGTTTTTTTTAAAAAAAATTATATGTAGTACAAAGGGAAATTCGAGAGGATGTAAAATGTTAACTTGTATCTTACGTGCAGTAATCGTTCAAGTGTTCTGGAAATCTTACTCTTCTTCCAGAACGCGTTGTTTTGAGTTTATTTTCGGATACCGTCGCAGTATCAACGTGTGTGTCTGCTGTCGATTGAGGCATTATAAGCGCAGGAGTTGTGTCGTGCGATTGTATTGAAGGAAAATCGACGTGAATAGGATTTCCTTCTAAATACGCTGCTTTGAGGCGATCGATGCTGATGCTTTCGTTGGTTCCGTTCTTATCTATTATATAGTACTTAGATTCGCGTTGAAGAACTTTGAAAGGTCCTTCATATGTTGATTCGAGAGGTCGTCGATGCGAGTCTCGACGGACGAAAACGTGTGTACTATGTAGTAAGTCAGGTTGAACGAAAACATCAGTTGATTGTGGTCGAGTGGAAACAGGTTTAACTGAACGCATTGTGTTTGTAAGCCTGTTCGCGTAGGAGGTTAGATCCATGTCCATCGAAGAGGATGAAGGATCCACGAACTCTCCTGGAAGTCGAAGGGTCGTACCATAAACGAGTTGAGATGCAGTGTATCCAATGTCAGATTTCACTGCATTGCGTATGCCTAGTAAGACGAGTGGAAGAGCGTCAGTCCACTGAGAAATGTTTGAGGCTGATAGTGACGCTTTTAGTTGTCGGTGAAAACGTTCTACTAACCCGTTTGCTTGTGGGTGGTAGGCCGTCGTTCGAAAGCGAGTGATTCCTAGTTTCATGGTAAGACAACGGAACAGTTCAGATTCAAACTGACGTCCACGGTCTGTAGTAATGGTTGTTGGGCAGCCGAAGTTTGCTACCCACCTCTCGACGAAGGTGCGAGCCACTGTTTCAGCAGTAATATCTCTGATGGGTACTGCTTCTGGCCATCGAGTAAAACGGTCTACGCATGTTAAAAGATAAGAATATCCATTTGAATCTGGCAAAGGTCCTACCAAATCCAAATGAACATGATCGAAGCGAGCATCGGGAGTTTTAAACGAGCCTAAGGGACATTTGTTATGCCTAATAACCTTAGATTTCTGGCAGCTTACACAGGAACGTGCCCACTCCCTCATATCTTTATTCATACCAGGCCAGCAAAACCGTTCTGCTATAAGCTTGATGGTTGCACGAACACCTGGATGAGAAAGTCTGTGCAACGTATCGAAGACGTTGCGTCGATATTGTTTCGGCACGATTGGGCGATCCCTACCTGTAGATGTGTCACAAAGTAAGGTTTCCTTACCTGTTCCCATCTGTTTAATGCGCAGTTTAAGTGTTGTTGAGGCCAACTCGTGCTGAAGATCACTGTCTTTTTTTTGAAGTTGGGCGAGTTTTAAAAGGTCGATTCCTTGGGAACTGTTCAAGGAATTTATACGAGACAAGGCGTCTGCGACTACATTGTTTGCTTCAGAAATGTGTCGAATATCTGAAGTAAACTGCGAAATGTAGTCCAGTTGTCGAGACTCACGTGGTGAGTACTTGTTCGAAGAAGAGCTTAAGGAGAACGTAAGTGGTTTATGGTCGGTAAAAATGATAAATTCACGGCCTTCGATATGTTGTTGAAAATGCCGGACAGCACAATACATAGCAAGGAGTTCCCAACCGAATGTGCTGTACCTCGATTCAGTGTCTAGCAACCGTCTAGAGAAAAATGCCAAAGGTTGCCAGGAGTGGTTAACCCATTGTTGTAAGACTGCTCCGATTGCTGAGTCGGATGCGTCTACTGAGATGCTAATGGGCGCTTTAGGGTCCTGATGAGCAAGCATTGCTGCTCGGGCGATATGTTCCTTAACCGTGGAGAATGCTTTTCGGGTAGTGTCATCTAGATTAATGGATTTCGCATTTCCACGAAGCTGGTCAGTAAGGGGTTTCATAAGTAACGCGCATTTCGGTATGAATCGTCTATAAAAACTTACCAGACCGTTAAACGTGCGCAATTGCTTGATGGTGGTCGGTTCTGGGTAATCCAGAATGGCCGCTACTTTCGTTCTAAGGGGTCGAATGCCATGCGCATCTATAGTGTGTCCTAAGAAGTCTAAGGATTCGGTTCCGATTTGGCATTTCTGAATGTTAACGGTAATGCCATGCTTTTGTAGTCGGTCGAAAACAATGTCCAGATGCTGGAGATGTGATTCTCTGTCCGGACTTGCTATTAGACAGTCATCAACGTATGCATGTACGAAGTTGAGACCTCGAAAAACGTCATCTATGAACCTTTGGAAAGTCTGTGCCGCGTTTCTCAGACCGAAAGGCATTCGCAAAAATTCATAGAGTCCGAAGGGCGTTATAATAGCGGTTTTTGGAATGTCTTCAGTGGCCATAGGAATTTGGTTATAAGCTTTTACCAAGTCAATTTTTGAAAAGACAGTTGCACCTTTCAAGGTAGCTGTCAAATCGTGAATGTGGGGCAACGGGTAACGATCGGGAATGGTGTTTGCATTCAATCTCCGATAGTCACCAGTTGGACGCCAATCGCAACGCAAGTTCAGATAAACACACACTTATTGTAAACTTCGTCAAAAACATCTGCTTATATCACAATAAACTAAAATGAAAATATGAAACTCAAACAATTTTAAGCATAAACGAATCAAACAGATAAGCATGAACAATGTTGTTATTTTGGAAGGCTAAACGAATAGTATTTCAAGGTTGTTAGCGGGACGTTTCGAAACTTTGCGCACTTTAAATGGCTGATGAGAAGCCACGAAGAAAACTAATTTTACATTTTGATGCCAGGAATACTTTGTTTCTGTCAGATAAAAGTTATCGTTTTACTATTGAAGAGGCGCTTAACAATTACATTTCTGGAATTGTATGGGGTAAGCAAAGTGGTTCATGAGTTTCTACCCGTTTTTTCCCAAACTAAAATTTGTCGACCTTTTGAAGTTTCAAACAGAAATTTTAAGAATATTTTGAAAAGCGAGAGCCATAAAATTTAATATAATTTTATTATTTTATTTAAAAGTTCGCTCACTTTAGAGGATGAACCAAAATTTTTGAGTGTTCGCAAAAAATTTTGCATTTTTAAAATGTTTTAAATCGGTTATTCATCTAGAGAATTTTGAACATATGAAGTTCAGTGAAAGAAAGAAACTCATTGTTTCAGCGATTAGATATTTTTTATAAAATTTCCTGAATTGTTTTGAATTTTTATTCTTCGATGTAGGAACAAGATAAGATTACGATTTCAAGTTAATAGTTTAGTATACCACTAACTGATTTTAGGATACTTCTTAACGTAAAGGAATAGAACAAAATTTATGTGAGACTTTCTATGTTGCTTTCATAAAACTGACTGAATGGAAAACAAATTTTTTTCCCTGTCGGTCGAATCCATTCATACATGTTTGTTTCGTATTTGAAACAAGAACTTATTTGAATTCTTTACTCATTTTCTGATTCATATACGTCGAGCAGTGATTTCTGTACATTATTTCATCAGAGTTAAGAAACGCTTTACAAATAGCTTATAATATCTAAAATCTCTTGCCAGAGCCTCCCTTGAGTCATCCGTGGTTCTGAGATCATTACTAACTATAACTGCTAAACTGTTAACATCCCTATCTTTGGGTCAGATTGTAAGCTAGAGATATCTCACTGGTTGCACATGTGTTTGTACTTTCTGAACGACCAACTTCATCTAATACACTTTGTGAGACTGACTTATGTCAGCTATTGATTCGTCCACTAAATCAGAAATGTTTAATATTTTGTTAAACCTATCTCACCACTCATTTTACGGATCTCTTGACTTTGATGTCACCCATATGTAGCAAAACTGAAAAGTGTTCTACCTTGTATTGACCGATTACCCGTACTAAAAGCAGTAGGGGGGGGCGTAAAGTCGTCGATTGGTAAACTCTATTTCCCACAGATCACTATGAAAATAAAACACTCTTTCGTGCGATATATTTACCTTTCTCTCACCGGGAAGGCAATGAAAGCAATCTCTAATTTTGCTACAAATATTGGGTTTGTCCAGTTTCACTCTTAATTTCGTTTGAGACTTTTGTTGCAACCTACGAAAATGCAGCTTACAGGATATTTGTTTTTTGGGTAAAATTTAATCTTCTCTTACAATAATTATTTTGTCAAACTTAAAGGACATGTTACAAAACTAGATTGTCCTTATTCTCGAAAACAGTCTTTTCCATATGTTAAGGAGTAACTGTTCGAATAATCTTTTTAAGTAATGTAACAGCAGTTCTTTTAGAACTGACCAAACGACAATCATCAACTAAGTACTTGGTTTTTTTATAGACTGAATTAGTTGTAGAGTCCTTCCGTTATTTTGCCGGCCTTGATAGCCATTTGTCTGTTGATTGTATTTTCAAAGGCTAGATCCTTCGAGTAACCTGATTTAATGTCATTCAGAAGGACTCAGGTACATGCGCTTTTTGTCCAGCCTCAGAAATTGAGTTCTGAAATAATCTTAAACGTTTTTATCTCTATACTGATTTTGTTATCAACTCTTTTACCATAAAATAATCTTCATAAATTTATCCTGCTGTGCTAACGTACAGTGAGAACGAGGTGCACATATGTGTCAGGTTTTAAGTTACTTATGACCGATTGAACATAAACATACTTTTTGACGTCTGACTATATTCGTCTTCTTAGACCTCAATGAGGCGCTCGACTCTAATGATCCTAGAGTTCTGTGACAGTGTGTCGTCAAAAGGCGTAGCAAAGGGATGTAAATAAAGTTTGTACATCCTCTTTAGTTGAGCATTAATGATCTAGTCAGAGCTTATGGAGAACTTTCATCGGAATTGTTTACTTCAAGTCGTGTTTGTCGGAGTTTCCCGCTTTTCCCATTTCTATCTACACATGGTTTTAGGAATAACACATCGTTTGCCTTTTTGGGGGTTGATCTTCTACCATAAGATTCGTCTATTCACTTACAAAACACATGCAATATAATTGTGTTTAATGAAGACTCTGATAGGATAAAGTCTTTTGACAACCTTAAATACAGTGAGAGAGCTTTTGAGATGTGGTTTCCTCCCTCCAAATTACTTAAGTAATATCTTGCGTCACCGCATGAATTAGCGATGGAAAGTGAAGTAGTTGAACGCAAAGACCCCTCCACTTATATTGGAAAAATCATCTGTACTGATGGTATGGTATCTGACAAAATCTTGGCACGTCTTTAGAAAACTCGATTGGCTTATGCTAACTTACGTTGCTTGTGACGTAGGCAAAATATTTGTCTTCCAAACAAAGGGATAGTTTACCGCACAGCACTTTGTTACGGTCCACAGTATGGATGTGAAAAACGACCATTAAGAGTAGAGGATATTTTTAGGTTACTGATATTCGATCATAGATGTCTAAGTACCATGTATTTTAGGACTAAGTAGTAATCAACGCCTAGGTTAAGAATAAAGCACTAAATAAAAGTGGGTAATTGATTGGCGAGGCAGTAAATCTTCATCAACTGAGGTTTTGAGGACATCTCCTGCCTCTACAGGCGATGTTTTCTGGCATAGGACTAGGCTGAAAGAAAGCTAGGGGCGGCCATATCAAAACGTGGTCTCAGTCCATGGAGTCGTTGGCAATCGAGCTTAACCATGCAAATGAGTATTAACTACCTGGTTGAGGTTTATATAATCATCGTAACCAATGGTTAGGCACTTTGGCACGGCTCATAATTGTTTGCAATGGCTCACGTGCATCCATCCTTTGTCTTGCCTCAGATTTTAAGCTCCTGAATCCATCATAATTTTTTTCTTGTCTTCATTTTACTAATTTATATCTTCCTAAGTAGTAACTTTGATGTCTAGTCTTTCCTAGTACCACCGATACTGCTACTTCCTCCTCTATTCTAGTGTTTAGCCCGAAAAATTTATTTTACTATGATATTGGGGTTTAGAAACTTGAGCCGATGTACATACTTCCTAGGTTCTACGATGATGCAAACTGACTGATCGACTAGCGTACATTACGCTACCTTTTTGATGCCTGAAGTTTTCAAACACTTTGATTTATAATCGTATCTTTCATTTTCCAACATACCGATTCATTCGTTGATTTAAAGTAAAGACAATTAAACAGTGTGTTTGAATAATGTCGTTGACAAGAACTTTTTTTCTTTGAACGGTCTTTTATTCTACTGTAATGGCATAACAAGTTACTTTCGTTGTGTGATGTTTCAAAATAAGGCGTATCAAAGAATGTACAGATCTCAGGAAAATTCACATTTGAAATGACTATATCTTCATTCTTTCTCCCAAGTTTGTATCTTAGTGGCAATATCTTTTGCTTAATACTGTTCAAACTATGTTTAGCCTTCTATGACTTGAAACTTGGGATTTGGTTCACTGTTATTTACTGAATAATTATAACTGAAGGTGTACAAAATAAGTCTATACTCTGTAAATAAGTATTATAAAGATAGGAATTACACGTACTTAACACTTGTATAACCAGAAATAAAGACCTTAAATATTATTCATTAGTTTAATCCGGATGTTTGTTGTAAATTTAAATGTGATGAAGGATTTATTTTTAGCAAATTTTGAGTTACAATCCATTGATTTGAATATGTTAGGTCATATATCAGCAGATTGTAGGGTATTTTGGGGAATTTATGGTAGTTGTTAGACTATATTCTCATAGATCGATGTCAGTCGAGGTATCATTGAAAACTAGTGGGCATGAAACAGCTGTCAAGTCGCAGTATTCAGACCCTGAATAGTGCACACTTACGACCCAACGAGAAAGTGACAACTAGAGAAGTCCCATACCAGCACAAAAAAGCTCTGTGATATCCCATGGTTTTCATTGGTACCAGACTAATATCGCGGATCACTTGAATTATAGACAAGAGCATATGGTGTTGAATTCCATGTCTTGTGTCACTAAAAGAATGTTTACACTTGGAAGCCGCCCAAATATCACCAATTTAGGTTCTAAATTTTAGTTATATTATTTAGTTTACTTTTTTAAATCTTGTTTCTAACGATGCAAACATTTCTACGCTTCTCGTTGATTATTTAAGGAGATACCTGTATATTTATATTTCATTAGGTTGATTCATTAAATCTATTTACGATCCAAAGACCTTCATCAGGTACTATTTTGTCATTCAGATTGTGGTCTGTTATCTTCAACGAGTATTTTAGAAGAAAATCTAGAATATTTTAGGTTGTATCATTGTTACTACTTATCGATAGGAAAATTTAATGTTTCAAGAAACATTCATAATCTGTTAAAGACCTAAAGATCTTTCTCTGCATTATAGTTTCGGTTATTAATCATGATCTGTTCCAGTTATGAAAGTCTGACTTTATAGCTTAGTAAATTATGAGTGATATTCCCTATGAATACAGAAACTAAGACGTTTTGGTGAAATATATATGAAATACTCCTTGGAATGTTGACTTTTGTTTAAGAAAGTACTTTATTGAATAGAATATCTTTTATCAAATGAATTAAGTATAGTATTAATAGATATATCTAGATCTTAAAAGCTCTTGTAATGTTCAATCTTTGATTTACCACAAGAAAAATTGTCAATGAACTAAATTTAGAAAATTCACTTGGTATTGTTTGTTTAAATCTCCCCCATTGATGTTAAGCACTGTAATTGATTAGTCTCTTATTGGTATATGTGCATACTGTGAGTATTGCCTCGATATGGCCTTAATCCACAAGCATTATATGTCAGTCAGTCAGTCAGTCAGTCAGTCAGTCAGTCAGTTACAACGTAGGACCAGGCACATATGTTCATCAGTTCAAGTTGCCATACCGCATTAGCACAACAAGATGAACACCAAATTCATAGGGGCATTTAATCCAGTGGTGTGATATATAA